GACAACGCGTGGGGTGCTATAAAATGTTGTCGTCCTGCTGAGGTCTTTCTTCCACAAACTGCACCGAACATAGTCGCCTTTGACTTGACATACACGACCTCTGCTCAATTTACGCAACTTTTACATTCTTCCTCACAAGTCCTTGTATCTGCAACCTATCTTCGCTATCAATAGCTTCATCCATGTCTTCTGTCATCAACAACAACATGCTCACTGTCTATTACGAGGTATGTGCTTATCTCTCCCAGTTTTTGTATGAGGATATACGTAGAGCGTCACACTCCCCAAAAGGGGATAAGGCTCATCCTCGACACAGTGGCGAGGATGAGAGGACGTGCGACACAGTTGGACACATCCCAATTGGGTGAGGTGACAAACGCGCTGTCACACGTCACCAGTCTCTTCTCATCGTCCACCACGACCATCGACAATTGGCCACGAGGACCCACCACTACAATCGAGGAACGGCGACGACCCCCCACGAACAGCCAGGAGGGCCCACCCCCACCATTGACGAATAGCCACGAGGGCCCACCACCAGGATCGACGGACGACGACGAGTGCCCACTAACGTCCACGGGGCCACCACCAGTATCGACGAATGGCTACGACCGCCCACAACCACGATCGTCGAGCGGCCATGGGTGCCCACCACGACGAACGGCCACGGGGGCTCATCACCACATTCGACAAACAGCCATGGGCGCCAACGACCATGATCCACAAACGGTCAATAGCACCGTCAACGATTCCCCAGTCTGCCCCCATCCTCCACCCCCGCTCTCTCCCCCACAGACCCACCTCACATAACCCATATTAGTAGGAACAAACGGCACAACTGTTGAGACACCGACCCAACACGACTCAACGCCATCGTCTACGAATCGACACCGACATGTCGAGCCAAACGCCAGTGTGAACAACCAGCTCCGACGTCTCGAACCCAACGCCAACGCGTAACCTCTGTTTTGAGCCCATTACCAGCATATACAACCGAACACTGACATTTTGAGCCCAACGCCAGTGTGTACGACCAACGCCGACCTCTCTAACCCAATGTCGGATGTACGACCCCAACACCAACGTGTAGGGCCGAAAGCTCTGTTTCGAGCCAAACACCAGCGTGTACAGCCCGATGCGAGTGAACGGCAGACGGCGAGGATCAGGTAGGAACCCGCATAGACATCGTAGGGGCCCCTACCGTTCTCGAGGAGGAGGGGCTGTCTCCTAATGTACATAGCCTCCCTTCCTGTATCATAAGTTGTCTATAAAATCTACACTGTTAATTACATGAGTACAGAAATTTTGAACTTAGAATAATTTTTGAACAAATGGTCCACATCGGGGTGTGTTGACAATATTCAATTGTCGACACACTACACATGAATTGGTGACACATTGCACACAAATGTGTCGTTTATTTACCCAATGTGTCGCTTTGTGACCCTATGTGTCGCTGACCCGATTTGGGGAGTGTGTTACTTTTCGTATACACTGCCACAAAACCAAGACCATAGAGCCCCAATACTAATAGAGCCACTTCAAACTTCGGCCTTCTTGCCCATCATCAATCAACTCCATCATGCCTCCCCGCCGTCCAATGTCCGCTCTTCGACGGAAGAGGTTACTTTTCTCCTATGCCCCGGATTGGTGAGTTTGACTTCATATCACATCTACTGTAAGAGCTAACAAGGCCGCAGGATTCTAACCATAGTGCTCGCGTACGACCTTTCCCCTGCTCACTTCAAACATTGTTGGTTGAAATGAACATATAACAGGGCAGCGTTCTTCGCGTTGGACAAGGTGCACGGGTACAGGAGGGTGTTTTCGTTGGAGGATACCTCGTACGTTTACCCTTACTCTTTGCTCCCTCAACGTCATTCTCAGTTATTGCTGCAGGTTACGACACCCGTACGTCCTCTTCTTCCCCTTTGTAAGAGACACGTTAACTGGATCGAATAAACAGGTTCGCAGAAAAAGAACGCGTACCCGTAAGTACCCCCCTCTCTTGAGTCTCTGCTCCCCGTCCGTTCTCACCTGTCACAAATCCAATGCAAAGGACGTTGCACTCTACATGATATGCTTCGTCGCGCCTCTCGTCATCCAACCACTCATCAACCTGCTGACTATTCGCTCCTGGTGGGATCTACATAATGGTATACCCACTCCCCCTCGCTACTTTCTCCACTGACACGTGCCTCGTATTGATAGGTACACTCGGTCGTACGTGCCTCTTTACCCTGATCCCCACCCGCTGACCGCCTCTCAGTGATTCTTGGTTTGGCGTTGACAGGCGCGGTGACACAGTTCACCAAGATCACAGTCGGACGACCACGTCCCTCTCTTCCCTTCTCTGTGTTGCTTCACGTTTTCCTCTCCTTCCTTATGCGTTTTGCTTTCCTTTACGCGCTTTCCTTTCCTTGCGCTCCTTCCTTTCCTTTCCTCCTTCCCTGCCTTCCTTAGACTTCCTCTCCCTCTTGTTCCCTTATCTCGCTCACCCTTCCCTTCTCCCGCTCCCCCCCCTTTTCTTCTCTCACCTCCCTCCCTCACTCCCCCCTTGTGCCTTCCCTTCTCCATCTACAACAACTAACTGTATCCAAACCCACAGACATAATCGCCCGCTGTCTCCCACCACAAAGCGCCACAGACCCCATCTTCGGCTTATCCACAGACGCCATATGCACAAACACCGACGTGGCCATTATGCGTGATGGGTTTCGGAGTTTCCCTTCTGGACATTCGAGTCGTACGTTGTCCCTTTTCCCCTCCCACTCTTGGTAGAAGGCTAACGCAACCCATAACAGTATCGTTCGCAGGTCTAGGGTTCCTTTCGTTCTATTTAGCAGGGAAACTGCACCTTTTTGATAAGAGGGGACACGCCGTACGTTCCCTTTTCCCTTTCATATCTTCGGGAATCAGACTCACGTATGAACGAAATGGCACACAGGGAAAAGCATGGTTATCCCTTACCCCGTTCGCAGGCGCTGCTTTGGTGGCTATTTCGCGGACTATGGATTATCGACGTATGTTCTCTTCTTTCTCTCTTCTCTTCCTTTGCTTCCCCTCCTATCCTGTCTTTCTGACCTCGCCTTTTCTTTCCCTTCCCCTCCTGCTAACCCAACTAACCCCACCCTCATCCACAGACCACTGGCACGAC